TCCCTGCCCCGGCCCCGCCGCCGCCGCGCGCGCCCCTTCTCCCTCCTGGCACTCTGCTCTCGAGCCAGCCTTCCGGACAAACTTTGATGGAGAATCTCACACCGCGCTGGAAACATGCCGGTGATGAAAGGATTACTGGCGCCCCAGAACACCTTCCTGGACACCATCGCCACCCGTTTTGACGGAACACGTAAGTCTTACACTTGGGCGAGTTGCATGGTGTTTTCGGAGAATGATTTTTTACCCCCTCTGGTACGCTACTTTTGCTCCCATCTTCCTGTTTGAGCCAGCAGGATGAATTTCCTTCTCTTCGACAAGGTGTCTTTTGTGCGGAGATTTATTTTTTCCTCCCGTGATTCGGTGCACTATTGACACTTTGGATTGGTGTAGTGGTTTCTCCACTTCCTGGGTTTGTAAGGGCTGGAAAGCAGCCTGAGAAAGACCGACGCCGCGTGTGTTCGCCGTGGAGCCTGTATTTTTGCTACCTTTTCAGGCAATTGGTTGTAGTTTAAAGATGAAAACGAGGATATTGTGCGCCCTGTTTTCCTAGAGTTTCAAGGCTGCCTGGATTAGGTGAGAGAATTTGGAGTGTTCTTTAATGGAGCTTAGGTTTATGTGCTAGGCACGAGTTCCTATCCGAGTTTAGGAAATGTAAAATAGAATCAAGATTGTTAAGTGTGAGCTTTCTGTATACTTACAAGTGTTGTGAGTTTGTCAGAACCTTCGTTTCTGCTTTTTAGCTGGTACAGCACGCCTAACACTCCACGACAGTCTGTTCAGGAAGGAGGAGCTGGACATTATAAAGGCTGACTTGATCATAAAAGAAACTTTTAACATTTTTGAGGACGAGCATTAGTGGATATTTTGCTCATTTAAGCAGAGTGGGGGAAAACGGTGTGTGCCTGTGTAGAGTTCACAATTGTCTGCAAATGGTTCTCTTTCAGGACCACGGCCAGGTCCCTCTCTTTCCTGGCTTCTCAGGCTCTCTGCTTGGAGCCTGGGGAATCTTCTCAGTCCTATAAATAGGAGTCTGTACTCCCACCCCTAACAAATGCCCACGGTTGGTTCCATTGAGAATATCCACCTTTCTTCTGCCTTATGCTGCTTCTGTGTGCTCTCTTCCCTTTTTGTGTCTATTGTTCAAGAACCACGTAACTCTGTTTACCCTAAAAGCTTTCTCAGTGTTTCAAGTACCATACTGTGTATATCTTCGTGCTGATATGAAATGGTACATCTAATTCCATTTCCGCTCCCTTAGTCTAGGTACTTGGTTTGGTTAGGTGGGAAAGCGAGTCTTGGCTTCTTGTGTTTGAAAATCGTTGGGCAAGTTTCTACAGAACAGAAATGAAGCACTTATTTTGATTTTCTTCAGTTTTTTACCTTTCACGTTCAGCCTAATCACGGTTGATGTGGCTGTTTGGTCAGGTCTTCCATGTCTTTATCACTAGGTTACTTCATTCTTTCCCCATTTGTATTTTATTTGTATGGGAGAGAATGAGTGAAGTAAGAAATGTTATTCAATATCTGTCTTCTTTAGATAACAATAAGGAAAAGTCCTTGGCACTGGCACTACTGCCATCACCCAGGCACCACCAAAGTCACCACTGGGGTCTTTAAGCACAGTTGGGGGTACTACCATTTATTAATGAGAAACTGATCAGTTTCATGTGGACATTAGTTCAGTTTGAACACTGAAAACCAAAACATTCTACATATTGATCTTGAATCCATCTCTTGAAAATGAGGTAATTGGAAAGTGGTAATTGCTCGGCTCAGCTGTCCTTTAAAGTCGAGAGGAGTGCAGTGTATACTGAATCATCCCAGCGGAACCCTGGGAATTACTGCAGAGATACATTTAGATACCATTGCTAATGAAAGGGGCTTTATATCATCAGTGTGAGTTTCTCTTGGCCTCTTTCTGATTCTCATCAGAGCATGTTCAGCAGGAGGACGTGTAGGGAGAGATGGTTCATGTCAATCACTTTTTTTCTATTTTAGTAACACATGAATACTAACAAATGGAAGGTTAGAAGTTTTAAATCCTTATTTGAGGTCATATCAAATACCAATGTTTAGCACAACAAAAAGCTCTAAAATTCTTTTGGAAACCATGTTTGGCTTGTGCTCCACAAAGTTTGGAGGATTCCTACAGAGATCCTGCTTGTATGGAATTACAACAGCAGTGAGGTACATTTCGTAGAGATGAGTAACGTAAAGGTTGATTTTGGGCAAGATTTTGTTTCCAATATTTAATGACTATCTTTCCTTCCAAGAATCCTCACTCCTGAAAATGGATTCTCCTTTCTCATTTGCTTTTTAAAAATTGTGTGATGACTTGAATAGTCTGAAGCTTCAAGAAAAAAACCTTAGGTAAACTTTTAGCCACAAGTTTGCTATATCTACAATCATAGGCATACCATTTCTCCTGCTAAATATTTAGTTTATCTTATTAGCATCCTTTCTTATTGATGCAATTTTACATGGATTTTTTACTTATCCTGAAAACTCTTTCCTTATGAATATCCTTTCTCTTTATTTTTATAGCATTTATTTTATTTTGTAAGGTAAAACTATTTGTAGGTTTTAAATTCTAAAAATTTCTACCCACTCACAAATTATGCTGAAATAAATATTATTATTAAACTCAACATGTAATGTGTTGATGTGGTGTATTTTCTGCTCCATGAGGTACATTTTGTAGTCATGTTTATTTCTTTTTATCTTATCTTGAACAATTCTAATAAAAACAAAAGAAAGTAAACAATAATCTTGGCAAACTATGTCATTAACCTAATCAGTGTGTGTATTATTATTATTATTATCCTTATTGATTTAATAACATAATGGAAAATAATAAGACAGTTTAAGATACCATCTAAAACTCTTCCCAGAAAAAAAATAAATATACGAACATATAAAAGCATACTATAGGGGCTGGGGATATAGCTCAGTGTTATAAGTGCCTGCCTGGCAAGCTCAAGTTCCTGAGTTCGATCCCCAGTACCAAAAGAAAAAAAAAAGAAAAAAGAAAAAAGAAAATCTAAAAAGCATACTACATAATCTCACTAATTTTTCTGTTGTGAGAGTATCACAGAACATCAAAGAAATTAATAATATACTTTATCAGCTAGTGATACTTTATTGATTTACGTAATAGAATATTTTTCCTTTTAATATTTATGAAGTAAACTCTTTGTTAGGAGAGAAAAGCAATTGCGTGTCCTTAATTAAAACCATTTTTCAGATATGCAGTATAATTTGTTTTTTTGTTTTTTTTTTTGTTTTTTTTTTTTTTGTTTTGTTTTTTCTCTGGTACCGGGAACCAAACTCACGACCTTGCGCTTGCCAGGCAGGCACTTTGCCGCTGAGCTAAATCCCCAGCCCTGCAGTATAATTTGTAAACATTATTGGAAAGTGTAAATAAATCTAAATATAAAATTATAACTGATATGTACTTACTCAAAGTATGTTCTAGTTTGTGTTTAATTGAAGTGGGATAAGACAGAAAAACCAAGAAACACTCAAATGTTGAATATGTACATCTCACTTAAGGAGAAAAGTAACTCCAGTGAATTTCTTTGGACCATAACATGCAACATTTCTTACTTGAAACTCTCTAAGACACACATATCCCCACACACAACTTTACCATCATGGTCTATGTATAGTTCACTCTTATGTAGATATTTTTAGGAAAATACATCCAGAAATCTTTAATACATCCCATACCCACAGTTTAATACATCCAGAAATCTTTCTGGGTAGACTTTGTTTTAAGTACATGAATATTAATCTGGACAAAGAAAAAGTATACTAAGAGAACGCATAAGTACATAGTTTAAAAATAAAATTTTAGTACAAGTATTTGTTATAATATGCCATTTGGGAAAAACATATTTTTCTTTTTTTGAAAGACATAAAACTTTCAGAAGGAAGTGTCCATTTTCAAATGTAATGGTGCATTAGCCTACATTTCCTGACCACATCAGAATTTGGCCAGAATACTTTTTCCCCTTTGATTTTTTTTTTTTTTTTTTTTTGTCTTTTTTTGTCTTTTTGAGACAGGGTCTCGCTATGCAGTTCAGCTCAGGCTGGTCTCAAACTTGCAACAGTCCTCCTGCCTCAGCCTCCCCAGTGCTGGCCCTTTGAAGTTACTAAGACAAGATTTAAATTTTGAGGCAAGTTTGTAATCCAGTGTACTCCATCAAGGACATGCCCATTAAAATATTAAGAATAATGTTGGTTTAGAAGCTTAGTAATATTTGCATATATTTTATGTACACTTACATAGCCTCCTCCCAAGTGTCTAAGAAAATTGGTTAAAATTGAAATGCTTCCCTTACAGAAGAACTTCTCAGCCACTTCTCTTTTCATCTTTATGCTTTTACCAAGGAACATAAATCTCTTTTAACATTAGGAGAATAGGAAGAAGGGTAATTATGTAATGCTGGAGAAAAGGGGAAGGATGAGCTGAGACAGGAGAGTACTTCCTAAGCCTTTGCTGAACAGTGGTTTGGAGCACGCTATCAAAGGCATTTAGTCAGGGGCTGGGGATTTAGCTCAGCGGCACAGTGCCTGCCTGGCAAGTGCAAGGTCGTGAGTTCGATTCCTGGTACTGGAAAAACAAAACAAAACAAACAAACAAACAAATAGACATTTAGTCAATAAAAAATAAGGAGCTCTATTAGGTAGGGGCCTGCCAATAAAAGATTATTGCATGGACACATTCAGGGAAATAACCTGCTTCTCTAGAGGAAGATATTTATACACCGGTGGAAGTTTATGAAGAGTTTGATGGTTTGTTTTGTTGCTTGCATGCTGCTGGTAGTTTCTTTTGTTTTTATTCCTTATGTTTAGAAACTAGGTTCCTGTATCTGATTAGTGTAGTATTTCTGTGTAATGAATTGTCGTAAACTGTGTGGCTTCGTATCTCGCCTTTTCTGTAGGTCAAGTGTCCAGGCATGGATAAGGGGGACTGTCTACTCAGAACCCACCAAGACTATAAGCAAGCTGGCCTCTGGCGCTGTGTGGTCTCATTTGAGGCCTGAGGTCCTCTTCTAACTTCATGCAGTTGTTGGCAGAGGTGCAGTTTTATGATTAAGGTGCCTGGGTTTTTTTGCCCGCTGCCAGCTACTGACTTTTCTCATCCAATAACGGCTGCCCTCACTGCATGGCCTCACTGCCTGACCG